AAAATTGTTGCATTGCATAATATTAGCTTGATAGCTCTCTCATTTCATTCCCTTTTTTCTACGTTCTCTTAAAAAATCTTAATCTGGTTTATAGTATATTGTAATGTGATCAATTAATCTCTGTATGATGAAGAAATATAGGCTATGGATAAACTCCAATGAAGCCTTTTTATGTCATAGTTACACTGACAGAGTGTTTTTTATTTTGTTCCCATTGTAAGTTTCTTTTCCTGCATGATTAACCTTATTATGCACTGTCAACAAAGACTAGGTGTGCATTATAAATTATTTTTTTGGTGTAGTAAATTACTTATAATAAAGGCAACTTTGCCGAGGTGATCAGTACCATATTGGTTTCCTCTTTTCCCTGTTGCCGATACTAGAATTGGCTGAGAATGGTTTCATGTCTGTGCTGATTTATCCAGTCAGTACACTTGTTTTGTGTAGCCAACATATTGCCCTATTAAAACACTTTCTTGTTCTTTTCATGTCTGTACTCCCTTCATATATTTTTAATGTTATTGTACTTTGCCTCTCTTTTTTTAGCCTTGTCAGTCTGTGCTTATATTGTGATATTTCTATCAAATTTTAACAGCTGTACTAAAGGCAACTTTGCTGAGGTTATCAGTACCATATTGGTTTCCTCTTTTCCCTGTTGCTTATACTGAATTGGCTGAAAATAGTTTTATGGTTGTGGTGATTTATATAATCACTACACTCCAGTATTGCCAACAAAACCCTATTTTAAGACCATTAATTATCCATTGCCTATTTATAGTCCCTGACTATACTTCGCAACGTTACTATTATTTGCCTCTCTTGTTAGCCTTTTCAGTGTATATTTAGATTTGTACCAAATGTTTGTAGCTATAATAAAGGCAACTTTGCCGAGGTGATCAGTACCATATTGGTTTCCTCTTTTCCCTGTTGCTGATACTAGAGTTGGCTGATAACAGTTTCACGGTTGTGCTGATTATATATAGTCAGTACACTTGTGTATTATAGCCTACATAGTACCATATTCAAACCATTACTTGTCAATCTTTTGTACAACTTGAAAAGATGATAACAGTACCATATTCAAACCATTTGTTGGGTTGCTTTAATTATTCAAACCTTATAGTCTAAAGAAAACTTTGCTATGACTTTGATTTCCTCTTTTTCCTGTTGGCTTGTTTAAAATAAGCTTGAAAATACTTCCTGATTCTGTTTTATTATTTGTCAGCATGCTTGATTATTCGAATCAGCACAGTAGTAATAGTAAAATCAATACATAAATGACCTTATTTGTAACAGTGGGCACTCATTCTTCTTTTAATCAAAATTTATTTTTTCACAGAACAAGGATGTAACTGAGGCAATTCAAAAGGTTGCTGCTGCCTATGACTGTAAAATTGTTGAGGGTGTTCTTAGTCACCAAATGAAGCAGTTTGTTATTGATGGAAATAAAGTTGTGCTCAGTTTGTCTAATCCGGACACAAGGGTTGACGAAGCAGAGTTTGAGGAGAATGAAGTTTATGCTATTGATATAGTAACAAGCACAGGGGATGGAAAGGTGGGTTAACTATATAAATATAATACTGAGTATGATACATTAAAGGGATGATAAAGTAAATTTTGATTCTCTTGCAGCCAAAGTTGCTGGATGAGAAGCAGACAACTATTTACAAGAGGGCCGTTGACAAGAGTTATCATCTGAAGATGAAAGCTTCTAGGTTTATTTTTAGTGAAATAAGCCAAAAATTTCCAATCATGCCATTCTCTGCCAGGTAAACTGACTACTTTCATGTTTTTAATTCTTTTCTACTTGTGTTCTAATACTAATTATCTTCAATTGTCTTAAAATTTAATTTGTTTTATAATAGGGCTTTGGAAGAGAAAAGAGCACGTCTGGGCTTAGTGGAATGTGTCAACCACGAGCTTTTGCAGCCATATCCTGTTCTGCATGAAAAGCCTGGTAAAAATTCTTTAGCTAGTAGCATAATTAGATCACCAAGGTGTCATTTCTTTAAGCCTTCGTGTCAGCATTGTGTTGTTAGTTTTTCAGGTGATTATGTTGCACATATAAAATTCACAGTCTTGTTAATGCCGAATGGGTCGGATCGAGTCACATCTCATCCACTACAAGAATTGCAGCCTACAAAAACAATTGATGATCCTGACATCAAGGCCTGGCTAGCCTTGGGCACAAAAACAAAGAAGAAAGGAGGTGGAAAGAAGAAAAAAGGTAGGTTGTAGAGCATGTTGTTGATATATTATTATTCCTTGTGTTGCCTCTCGCATCTCTGTTATTGAACGGAACATCATTTACATATCTAAAGTTTTAATGTACGATGTGTTGAATGGCTGAACAAATAACAATGCTTGATTGGTTGCGCAGGCAAGAAAGGGGACAAGGTAGATGCGTCAGCTGAAGCTGAGCCTATGGACTCAACAAACGGGGCCACTCAGGATTGAGTTGACCCCAATCCTCTCAAACATGGAAAAGAGTTTTTCATTTCATTTTCGACCCCCCCTTTCAATTTTGGTACATTGGTCACCAAATTGTAATTTTCTTGGATATGAATTTTAGTATAGTCTTCTGACATTAATTCTAACAGCAATTTTTACTATGCACATTTTAGTTAGAGGTGTGGAACTGTTTCTCAACCGGTTTGAAGTGAACGAGTTTCGAGCTGATTTCTAAAATCAGTCTAGTTTTGAATCTAATTGTTTTCGTGGAAAAAATATTTCCAAATTTGCAGCTTTTAATGTTGAGATGGAATGGTGGAGCATTCACCTTATTTGAAAATTGCAAATCATTTTTTTTATATAGAAATTATTCTATCCCTGATGTAATGGATTTACCTTATACTGTCTGTACTTTTCGTGCGATGATGTCTATACGGTAGGTAAGCTTTTTTCTTAGATAATGTTATAACTTATATTTATGTGTAAGCAAAAATTCAATTGTAATAATTTCTGTCCTCATCTAGGTAATGCAATAAGTGCCGAACTAAAACTAGAATAATGTGGTGAGTAAAACAGGGAGGGAACATAAAAAGTTTGGTTTATCGGATTTTCGGAATTATGCTAATTTTTGAAATTTGTGTTAAAATTTGTATCATTTAGTTTTGAGTTTTATTTTACTAAAAAATGTTTTAGCTTTTGGAACTTCAGTTCAGTTATTTTCTATTTGTTTTTTTAGCTTATTCCGATTCACTTTTAATGTTTAAAATATATTATTTTTTTTAGTATAATATAGCAACAAATTTTGTTTTAGGCAGCAATTGAAGGATTGGGTCTGATTAATAAGTTCCACAAAACATTAAATTGCTTATACTGATAAAAGTTATATTAAATTTTACTATAACCATGTTTTCATGTAATAAAAAGATTAAATTATAAATTATATCTTTTCAAAGGTAACCAAAAGTATCGGTAATTTAATTTAAGATGATCTACCTTCGAAAAATTAAAGACACATTTGAGAGAAATATTTAATCCTTCAAAAATCTAATAAAAAAGTAATTCCTTGTTTGGTTTCTAAAAATGTTTTTCTGCCAACTTCCTCATAATAACATTTCTACAAGGTAGAAATCGAACTTTCTCGTGTAAACAAAGTATTTTTAGTAAAATCTTTGATTTCCAATAAAATTATATGAATATTTTTCACAATAATGTTATAAGAATTTTAATTTTCAGGATTTGATGATTTCATAAATATTTTCGGGTAAGAAAAAATTCCTATGTAACAAATGCTTTCTAATTTAAATTAAAGATTAAGAGTGACGATGATGAATTGTAATACTTTGTTTCTATGTGATGATGGCCCATATGTATTAGGATCTGTTTTGTGCTTAGCTTTTAAATGTGTACATCTTCTAGAGTATATAATTCTGGCAACTGTGCAAATACATTTGAATGTATCCAGTTCTAGTAGATTTGATATTGTAGTATTTAAAATTTCCTTTTAAAATTATGTAGAATTCAAATTGCAAGAACATTAAAGAACATGCATTATTATTTCTCAATTGTTTGTGCGTTTATGTAATGAAGTGATTGGTATTTCAGTGAGGGTGTATGTTTTGTTATGTGTATACAATTGGAGAAGGGGTTAGTTAGGCAAATTTTAACTGTTTACAAGGATTTTATATAACCCACCTACCTTATCATTTGATTTAACACAACACAATGTGTATATAATATTAGCCAAGGGTAAAACCTGAATTCAAAGAACTTTGATAAATTTTGCACTACACATCCGAATGTGTCCAAAACAACATCTACAAATTTCACATTTCCTGTCATTCTCAGTAAAGTAAATGAACACTATGGACTCAATGCTACCCCTTTCTATATATTAATAAAGGAACAGCATCCTATTTACATAGTTTCACGCTGCCAACAGGCATAGACAAATGAAAATGATTTTAATGAGGAAAACCATGACCTGGAAACAATTTTAAATAAGTGTCAAAAACCACCAATAAAGCTTCAATTTCATCCTGGAAAAAAGAGATTGTTAACGTCAGATACAACTAAAGAAGTCATGAATACAATCCATAATCACACTAATTTCAATCCACACAATGTCACGCATGATGGTCATAGTAATGTTCATTTTGATTGCTCGTTGAAATTGTCTTGTGGGTCAGATAAAACTACAATGGGCAAAATTTACTGTCCACTATCTCAGCCTAATTATTTACTGTCTAATAAAATCATCAGTACTATTCTTGAAGGTCACAATTTATATGGCCTGTAATTTGAAAGTTATTCTGTATGACTGATCCTGTCATTAATCTTGTGTCACTCAGATTACGGTTAGTGAAAATAGAAAATGTTATAATATTGTTAAAGAAATCCTAAGACATTAGGGAGTTGGTACCTAGGGAAAATAAAATATAACAAAATTGGTAGAAAGGAAATATACCCTATAAGAAGTATCAATATATGAACACAAAAACTGAGCCTGCACATAGCAACACCAGATCAGAAGAATTAAATGTCAGACCCAGTTATGGCATCTTCAGCGCCTGCTTCAATTGTGCAAATGCAGATGGATGCATATTGCTCATTGCAGCATTAAATGATTCTCCATGAATAGCAGCACATGTTTGTAGCTTTTCTCTCACGCAGTCCTCAAGAGACAACTGATTGATCCGATCAGAAAATTTGATCTAGCCACAACATAAATAAATGTATTAATTTGTTACTCTCACAATTTACATCATTCGAAAATGGAAATTTCATCTAGTTTTCATAGTTCTCTAACCTGTCTTTTTCTGAATTCTTTACTAGGAATAGTGTCTTCATCAGGAGATGCACTGGAGCTCATATCACCACTGTTATTGACAATATACATGGACAACTATGTTTCAAAAACATGACTGAATGCCATTTAAAACGAGAGATTACCTCTTTTTAGTTTCAAAACTAAGCTTAGTTGGTTTTTTTCATATAAGAGACGTGCCACAACCATGTATTGCAAAAGCGTTATCTATTAAACGTAAATACATGAGTGGAATTTGTATTACATCCCTAAGAAGACTAAACAAAACATAGAAAAGCAGATGATGATCAAGATTCAGCTAAAGTTGTTATCTACTACTCTTTACAAAATGCCCCAAACTGAATACAAGTACAAAAATCTAACCTGGACTCTTCCTCAGTTAAGTCATCATTTCTACCGAGAATCACACTAGTGCAAACACTGTACATCAAAACATATACAGGGGTCAATTACTAGTTATTTGCAAACAATGAATATTATTTAAAGGTTAGTACCTCAAAATTTGATCCAGTTTGTCAAGTACTTGAGGCAATCTTAATGTCAGAATTATTGAGAGGGCTAAACCAATTGTCTTCTTCTGGATGGAAGAAACATTATCTACCTGGAAAAATTATATGCATATATTCACAATAAAAGATAAAACATTAAGTAGGCCAAAATGAAATATTTACACATACAAGTAAATACTGAATAAAAACTTAAGCAAATATTGATTTTAATATATGTGACATCCTACAGCATATTTACGAGGACAGAACTTCTAGCCATCTGCCAACATTTTGCCCCCACCCCCTTCACACGGTGATGGACAAGTTTAAAAGGTAAATGCATCAAATGCAGCAGAGTAATGAATCTAAACTAGGCCATGATACTGTCGAAAAGATTCATATTTACTTCAGATACTGATATATTCGTCAAAAGTCAAATAAATATAAATCATTTTAAAGCTGCACGAAGTAATGCAACTCACAGGTTTGTCTTAAGTACATACGAGACACATATATGCAATATATTTAGAACCAAGCACTGTCTCTTCAGCATAACCACACCAACCTTATCAACCCAAATGTCAACCAGACAAAGAAGTATATTTTCTTGAACTGGGATGGATGCTGTCTGAAGCAGTAGAGAAGTTGATGGATCTGATGCTAATTGGGCAAGTGAGTTTGTATTCATGACCAAAAGCCTAGCCAGGATGGCAGCAGAAGATGCTTTAACAGATGTTTTAGAAGGATCGTGGTCATCTCCTCCACTCAAACAAATTACAATTAACTTCTGTAGGAAAAAAAAAATACAAGGGCTTGAAAAACAATTCTCCAGATCAAGATATGAACTATGAAACATTAGTTGATCAGCACTAAGTTTGATTTACAACAGACTTACTTGTAAAGTGCTGCTAATAAGTGGCGGCACTTCCATGGGGAAACACTGTGAAGAGGCAAAATCAAATAAAAATACTGTTTTCAAGTATTTTTAAAATATATATGACAAGAAAGGAAAACCATCATTCAACTAATATTAAGGCCAAAAGAAGTTTACATAATCTTCAAGGTTTAGTCACATGATATTAAATTATATTTTCCTGCATAGGCTTTCCACTCAATCACAACAACAAACTTACCCATTGACATAAGAACTAAATATAAAAACTTAGCCGCCATTTAGGATGGTTTTTAGATGTCAATTTCAAAAATTTTAACTACAGAAGATTTTAGTTCAGTTTAGGGTGGTTAAGTTTTTAAAGTTAGTTTTTTTTCTTCTAACTTTTAGTTTCAAAAAAATTAGTTTAAAATTTTATCTAATGTTAAAATTAGTTTAAAGGCATGATCTTACGGTGGATACAACACGGTAATTTAGTTAACTGTGCATTTGTATGGGTTTATTTTTAAAAACCCATAAAAAAGGTAGCACTAACAAAAAAAAGCTTTTTTGCCAAAAAAGAAAAACATTTTAAAAAAATGTTGGAATGATATTTTATTTTCAAGTTTTCAGAAATTACATATATATTTAAAAAATAATTTGGAATTCTTTTTTTGAAATTAGAAATGTATATTTAAAAAAAAACTAATCCAAATTGGAAATAGATCCATGTATATGTAATTAAAAATAAATTAGTGTTGCTAAGCATCCTACATTATCATAATGGCCGAAAACACAAAAATACCTAATGAATTAACAAAAGTATAGGGGCAAGAGTTGGAAATAAAAGGTCATAGAAGATATCAGTATCATTAGAAACTACTAAATTGCTCTAATATAATATAATGTTTAGGTAGTGGAGTTTGTACTAACAGCATTAATACTTGACCTAGTTAAAGGAATGATTTAAGGTATAAGGTTAGGGTTATTCTGCTACATTACATCCTATTAAATATGAATAATATCACTGTTTACTGAACCTATAATTCTCAATAGGAGGCATCATCATATACCAAAAGTCCTAGTAATTCATATTAATATTTAAGTTTAAAAATTGACAAGGTTTGGAATGACATACCTGTATTAAGATGTCAACCACAGGAAGAACTGAAATAAGGCCTTTGTCATTGACATTTCCAATAACTAAATCAAGAATTTTAGAAATATTTGTTGCATGCATGCTAAGAAAGTCATTTCCACCCAAAATTATGTAATCTTCAATTATGTTCACAGCAACCTGTACTTAGATAAAGCCAATGTAACAAACATATTAGAATAAGGTCACAAACTGTCTGTTAGGGGTGGGCACTAAGTAAACTAGCAAGAATATGTAACATCAATAATGATCATACGCCAAACATAGTTAACAATTTGATAAATACAACACAAAGAAGTGGATGCCATTGGCTGAAAATTGTATACTTCCACCAAATTTAAAACTGAATGATTACACTTTTTTCAAATCGTGAGGCACAAACTTGATAGTTGCCGACTTATCTGGAAACCAGCTGAAAGAAAATTACATTGATTTTCCTTCTATATATTAGATTACACTTAAGTACCTTTTTCTAGTACATATCGAAGAACAGTTTCCCTCATAGTATCTCTAATCTAACAGACTTAGCTCCCAATGTAACAGGATTAACTTCTACTCTAACAAATTCTTACACAAGAACCAATGATCTGAAAATTTTAGAAGGTCCAGTGCTGGCATGCAGGAAGGGAGCTTGAATAGAAGGAACATTAATTCAAATATTTATGTACATCATACAAACACAAGGACACAATATAGTTGTCACTATCAAGCAATCATGCTCCCTGAAACTTTTACAAAACTACTTCATTCTAGAGGTTCTAACACAATAACTATCTTTCTCTTGAGTATAGAAAAACATGAGTAGAGAGTTAATTGAAAACTTATTAGAATATGGAGCTAATTCTAACCTGTAAATGGTCAAAATTTCTTTCCATAATCTCCACAAGGCGTGAAAAATATTGTAACAATTGAGGCACCATTGATGGTGCGTGAGAAAGTGTGGCCTCCCATAACTGAAAGATTATGCAGTTGAACTTTCATGTTATATTTTCTCACAACAATAGTACCATCTAGTTAATAAAATAAAAGACAGCAGGATTACCAGCATGCTATCTTCTAGGAGATTGAGTTCATCTGGACTATTAATATCAATCCCATTCTCCAGAATGGGCAGCAGTATACTGTAGCACATAGGTGACTGGTAACCAAGTGCAACCACAAAGTTTCTCAAAGCAACCAGAAGTTGTATCTGCAGCAGACTTTCACCAGAAGATTCCTCCCAGACCTTGCCATAACAAAAGCAATAGTGAGTGATACAGATTCCATATCCAGTGAGACCAGAGCACTTCAAATCAGTTACTTAATCATATTCCATCTGCATTGCACACAATTTTTGCACAGCCAAGGCATCTACCTCAGAACCCCTATTTTAATTTTATGTCATTTCCTCTCCTAAAATGTGAAGGGAAATGACCACACATAGTCTACCTCTTTAAGAAAGACCAATCTCATATTCTTATTTTCAATTTTATTTCATTTTTTAATGAAAGTGGAGGGAATGTGTCCAAATTTTGGTCTTTTTAGGTAAAATGAAAGTCTGGACATTTGTGATTTTTATTTCACAATGTGAAACACATGCTATATTTTATCATTGACCAAGAATCTACTGATTCAAGATGTGCTATGATCTTTGAGCTGGAAAAAAAATCCTTTCACAATTTGATTCCAATTTAATAACCAAGATGTCTATATCAAATGAACCCTAAATTTCTTCTGAATAACTCATCTATCTCACAAGTTTTATCTTTAGAGAAAATAACAGACTTATAAATCAGGGCCCCAAACTGATGAGTTCGTATATTTACTCATGCCACTCTAATTTTATGGTAAAGAAACTGATATACAACATACTGAAAAAGGAAAAAAAAAAATGCATTTTTTTCTTTCATGTGAACCTAACCAAGTATTTAAAATACAAAGCTTAATAGACAAAACATAGACAGGATATTTCTTATGTTACCTTCCGAAAAAATTGCACCAATTTGTTTGCAAATGGAATAACTTCACTAACATGTCCGATTAGGATAGAGATCAAATTCAAAACCTGAACCTGAAGAAATATTGACAGAACATGAACAACAATTCACTCATAGGACCAAATGTTGAATGCAATCCAGTTTCAGATTATAATTTACACAATAAATGTGTGCCCTAGTCATGCATATAAATTTCAGTAACATAGTAGAAAATTCAATGTGCCTGTGCAGTCAAAGGCACTTATAGAGGATGAGGTGATGCCGTAGGCACACACATCAGCTTCATTAACAAGATGCTAGCCTTTAGCAACTAACCAATAACATAAAGTTCCCAAAGCCCATCCATCTAACTTGCCAATTAAGATGTTAAAGGGGGGTCAACTGATGTTTTATCTATGCTGGCCACCCAACAGTAATATCTGTGCTGAGCATGGATCAAATGATGCCATTGGATTCAACCAAAAACCAAATTTTATTAAAACTAGTTTCTGGTTTATTGTAACATGGACAAACAAAACATACACTAAAGAGAAATGGAACAGAACTAAATGAGGTTTAAGCTTTGAACTATGAGTTACAACATCCATCCAAGGGCAAAACAAACAAAGTTCACTATCATTAATGCACATTTTAAGGAATAGCCATTTAGCACTCAACTGCAATCCCAATGGACTCAATTCCTCACTGTTGCAGAGGTTTCACAACCTTAGTAAGAAATTTAATATATACTACACCACCCTCTGCCTCCACCACAAATGTCCTTGAAAATTGCATGCCCGATTAAATTGCATGCCCAATTACACTGCAGCATATTTGGGTGGTGTCATATGACAGGCTAGGTCCACTTGTTTTAATCTCCCAACCAAGGAGACCTATTCCCTTCAATACCTGGATTTCACCTTTCCAAACAGTGTCTAAGAGAAAATTTTCCATCAAAAAGGAAAAAGTTGCCTAGCAGTAGTGTTTACCTTTGAATCAAATTCCTGAACTTCCTCAAACAACTTAAAACATGAGTCCCAACAGATAGGGAGAAGATCAACAAACTCCCTCTCTGAAAAGTTTGCATCCTCAATATGTAAGCATAGTGAACGACATGCTGCCAGCTAAAAAAATATATGCACATAGTTAGTTTGAAACAAAATAGAGAGACATATATATATGTGTGTGTGTGTGCTGCGCGCGCGTGTGTTTTAATAACAGAAACATGTGTAATAATGGTAGATGGAATACATGTCTATGTAACATACCCTTACAGACAAATCTTTACCCTTTAACAATCTGATTAAAGCACAGTATACAGGCCTTTTTGTATCATCCTTGATCTGCAAAGGATAGATAAGACATAAGAAAGTGAATACAAATGACTTTTCCTTATTTGAAGATATTAGATGGATTAAGATAATGAGTTATTTTACAATCATAGTTCATAAAATCTTAATATAAAAAAAATAGAAATTATTTAACCTGTCTAGGTTTTGAATTTCACAATGAAAGAAAAGAAACTAAGAAAGCTTCTCATCAAATCTTTTGATTAAACTGTGAAAACTTTGAAGTTTATTAACAAAGTAACTCAATATATTATATACCTCAGAAACCCACTGTCCCAAAATTATAGCCACTTTACGATGAATGATACGCAAATTTGGATGTTCATTTGAGAGTTCCAGTGATAGAGCACCATTAAACCTGCAAATGAATGGTTTAGAAGGAGTAGACATACTTTAAAATCCAGTGATAGCATAACTAAAGCTCTAATATGAAAAAAAAAATATTTTAATAGACTATGAAATTGCACTGTGTCATTAAAGAAACTAAAATCTGAACCATCAAATAAGATAACTAACTCTAATAACTATTTGCATGTTAGAATGCCTCAATAGCTCTTGTGTTATGTGTATAGACTGACACCGTGTCTAATTTATTTTTCCACTGCAGCTGAGATTATCTAGGAACAAACTTGCTTTTAGTGAGAAAGAGATTGGGTATTGTCCTAATTTGTTTAATTAGTTTCTATAAAGATGTTTTCAGGCCTTTGATATGGAATTAACCAGTTGTGGCAATGTTTGAAAGGAATGACCACATTTCAAGGGCATATCCTCACCTCTGATTTTGTTATGGTATAGAACTGTTTTTATGGTGTTTAAACGTGGACAGTTTATCAGAATCAGTATTCCAAACAAAGAGACTTCACAGTTCTTTAACACTGACTAACTACTAGGAGTTCCCACTCTCTGTCTCTATTTTTTCCTCTGTTTTGTCTTTGCTGAGAAGATATTATCCTCTGACCTTATGATGTACGATGCAATTTAAGTAGTAATATCCATTTCACTTGGAAAATGCACTAAGGTGTTGGGAGTACAAGCAATCAATGGATAGTACATCGCAAGAGGAAACTTTGTGCAAAGTTCCATCACCAGTGATTGGGGCTTCATGATTTCTTGAGTAGAAATTTGTATACCAAAGTTCAGACACAACAAAACTACAATGATCAATATTTTAAGAATGATAAGACCAAAATATGGACAACTTAGTAAACAAAGTATAGTAGCTTTAAGCTTACCAGTCTTTAAAGCTCAGGTAGTTTGAGAGTTCATAATAAACATATGCCGTTGCACCATAAGCAGCATCTTTAAGAAGCAAAGCAGGAGTAATTTCTGTCACTGAAGTTGGACAATTATTCATACTCTCTTGAAGAAGAGAAACTACAACAGGACCTAGCAACTAAAAATAACAGTCACAATCACACATCCATATTAATATAATATAGTCAACAAAGCCAATGATTGAAATATCTCAAAAAGAAAAAAATACAAGATAACCTGTGATGTTTAAATAGCACCTACTTGGCTATTAGTTTCAAACAATACAATGTACAGAGCTTCAGCACATGGCCTCAATTTTTCTGTCCACTGAACCATATCCTGCTCATGGTGAAAAGACTCAGGGTTACGATACCACTCTTCCATATCACTTGCTGTCAGAACAAAATACCTGTCGGAGGATAACAGCATTGTTTAGGCTGGTAATAGAGTGAATAATCATAATGAGAAATATAACTTTGTCTCAAAGCAAATTACAATTACATAGCCACTAACAGTAGCCTCTCGCCTTCAAAATAAAAGAAAAAGAATTTTAATTTTATCTCTCATAAGTTGTAGTAAATATCAAAACCTATATTAACCACTTAAGATATTGCTCGCAGGTCAGACATATACATACAAACACACAGGCATCAGTACATACTCACATGACACCGAAAAATTCCCTGATCTTACTTGCTAGCACAGATTTTCCATAACTTGAAGTTGACAGCAACAACTTTGTTTTTGCATTGCAGATTACCACTTTTGTACCTCAATATCAAAACATTCTAGGCAGCAGTAGGGTATACATACACTTTCAGGAGATTTCCACATGTTTTATCTGAGAGTATATTTAATATAATAATGACTTATATAGTCTCTCATACTGAATTATCCTGGTATTGGTTATACAAATCCAACCTATTTACCCAACATATCCATACATTTTAATTTGGGAGAGTTAATTCTAAATCAATCTAGACCCTTGTATAACTTAGAAGTACAGATGATTTTCTAAATATGTTCATCTCTGTCCCCAGGAAACTATGTAATTAAAGCACAATACCACTCAATCTAGAAAAAAAATGCAATCTACGAAGAAGATGACTACTAAATGAATAAACAAGGTATCTCTTTGACTGATTTGGAGAAAGAAAAGCCCAAAAACAACTAGTTTTTTAATTTAACTCTACTTGCATAAAACTTAACATTTATAAACACGTAGCATATCTTTAGGCCCCATTCAGCTGATAAAACATGATAAATACAAGTACGCAAACCAAGAAGGGGCTAGAAAGTGAATACCTTGATATCAATACATTACACAAGTGGACTATTCTTTCAGTGGGGAGAAGGGATGTTAACACACCACCAACTGCACTAGAAATGTTTTTCTTCATCAGCTCCAGTGTAACTCCATTTTCATCCATCACCCTACCAGTAAGACTTGGCTTGTACTCTTTACATTCCAGAATATTTTTAATCATCACCATACACTGAATGAGAAATTGCTCAAACGACAATAGATAAGGCTCAGGATCTGTTATCCTATTCAAACAAAAGTCCATGACTGATGAAAGTACAAATTTATCACCAAATGAATAAGGATGTTTTCCCTGAAAGGCAACTAAAATTTTCATCAATTTGGTACATGCCCTCTTTAAGAAGTCCCAAAATTTGGGATATTGCTTTTGAAAAGATGAATCTGCAAACAAAAATGCCTAGTAAGAATAAAAAAAAGAAGTAAAATTCTATGCACAAGAAAAGGCACAGAAAGTAGATAAATTATATTTTACTTTTTCTTGCACTACATATGAAAAGTAGAAATTGTAAGATTATACTGAGAAGGGAAGGAAATATTAGGCATTTAAAGGTTTAAATTTTTAACACAGCAACTCATTAAAAATAAGACGAAAACAAAAACTAATATAGAATCTGGGGCACTGAAAAAATACAGAAAGTTTAAGGAACACATAAACATGGTGATAATGATACATGTTAAATATCCGAAGCTACATAGATTAAAGAAATGGTAGTCAATGTATTTGCTCATTGTGCTTTACAAAAAGTCATTCTGAGGATCTACCTTGATATTTAAATTTTCCCTTATTAATTTATTTTTTGTTTTAGGTTGCACTTAACTATGCCATAGCCACTACTGAGTATTGCTGGTCTTGTAGCTGTCGAGAAGAATTTCCCTTTGAATTGACAGGCATTTTCCATTTTGTCTAGCCAGCTTGACTATGTGCGTCATCATTCTCCCCCCAACTCAATCCTTATAACTTACTCGTCCTGACTCCCCAACTATATTATATCATCCAACCCCTGGAAAAATATGCATTACAGCATGTTTGCATTTGCTACTGCTAAGAACAAATCATCCAGCTGTAGGATGTGCCTAAGCACATTCAATCCTATGTTAAAGAGTGTGGAGATGCAGTTGGCCTATGGTAGAGATCTTCCATTACACCTCCACAAGTTTGTATCCGAATTAAAAGAAAATTTATCCACACCATGTTTGGATCATCAAAATCCCATTTAAAAATGGAAATCTTTATTAGACATTAGCATTCAACAAAACTGAAACTTTAATTTTTTTTATGTATCACACTAAGGGAACAAACTTGTCTAGGAACAGAATGATTCTTATACAAATGTTTGTATTATAGTTATTCATCCTAACCTAGACATGAGGATGAAAATATATGCACAAAAAATAGAAGTCTCACAGTATGGAAGGAGTGATTGAATGGCAGTCAAGAACACAGGTGAGACTTCCTTGACTAGCCGAACCTCCTACAAAATATAAATAGTAATATAAGGCTCGAGACTTTAAATTTTGGATTAATTAACTTGAAAAAATATAAAAGGATGATATACTCTTCAACACACAAACTCATCATAGAGAATTAAAACAAGAGATGGATATATAATTACCTGAAAACACTTTGAATCACTTTGAAATCCTGAAATAATCAATTGCCGCACAATCTTTGAACATAACAACCATCGCTCACACTTAAGATAAAGTTCATGAGGCTGATCTTCAGCATTTACATTAGAGCTTTGAGAGAGAGATGAAAAACCATGCAGTATTGTTTGCACATCACTTTGCCAAAGGCGCCAGCTATAATCAAAGAAATGAGACGATATCTGCCAGACAAATTGGTTGCATAATTGAATATATTATATGATTTAAGCCATGCGCATGTACTAAACAGTAATCTTATTCTAGAAGAACTATGTAATCAGATGCGAAATTTTGAGGCAAAAAGGTGAAGCTGCAGAACATAGGTGAAACAATAAAGCAGAATACAATATAAACCCCAACAGAGCCTATAAGATAGACCATATGTACTTCATAAAACTAGGTAATGGTGCCTATTTGTGTTTTAAGTAATTAAGAATAAAGTACCAAACATAAGAAGATACTGGAGTTAGAAAAAACATATATCACAATTGCCCCCACCATTCATTCTGGCTCTATCATTACAAAGAACAGTTATCTTTGGTTATGTTAGTATAGAGAAATGACAAACTTAAGTTGCCTGCGGCATCAAATGTGGTAGATATATTTACATATATAGAGACCAGTCAGACCACCTAAGACATACAACACATAGCCATAAATTGGACTCAAAAACCTGGTTCTACTCAACAATGCATATCAGTTGCTGATATTGCTCTTTGTAAATTATGTTTATCACCCTCCTGACAGGATTATATTAGAGTTATTAAAAGTTCCGCTGGTTTACCACAATCAACTCAAAATTATCAATTTAATGTTTGAAATTAAAAACTGACCCACAAAAGGCAATGAATCTCACTCCCATGCAGATATGACTAAAATTGAAAGAACACACTAGGTTGAGTAATACACAATCCCGTCCAGAACGATAAAACAAATTATGCTACCCCTATAGACCCTAACTACTAGATAGTTGGGACAACCTTTGAAGGGAGAGTGGCGATACTGCCTCCTCAAAAGTTTAATGTATCGAGCCATAGAGCCTTCAAATACCTACATCCAAGTTTCCAACAACTCACCAATAGGACCTCCTTGCTACCCTTGTAAGAACAAGTTGAAACATATTATGAAAAATGTCATTCATATTTATGTGACTTAGGATATGTATTTCTGTAGCCAAGATCACTTCAATATGCTGACAGCAAGTATGTTTAAACAAGGTTTTTATATTCTAGATTAAAAAAAAAAAAGACAAGATTCTTATTGAGGTTTGCATGTCATTCCAATAATGACTGACTGTTGACATTTTTCAAGTTTTCAATGTACAGCATAAAGGCAGGGATTTAGACAGCTGGAAGCAAGAGAGAACAGAAAAAGAATAAACAAGGAACTGCACCTCGGCAAAGTTGCGTTGGTCTGATGTAAGGCGTTTTGTGGACAACTCCTTTAAGGTCCTAAATAGAATTAAAAAGATTCGATGGGAAGCTAGAACATCTGTTGATTGAAGTTGTTGGGATAAAACCAAAAAGATGTCTGGCCTGAGGAGTCATTAAATTAGCATATCAATATATAGAACTTTCTACAAGAAGAATGTTAAAATCATAAAAATCCAAAGAAGCCAAACATTAAGATTGCTTAGAACATGTATGCAGCAAAAAGCCATGCATGTTGATAACGCCTATCAATGAAAACTAGAAATCTGGGCACCTTTTTGTATAAATATTAAAACTCTACTAAAAGACAATTTAGACAAATCATTCTGCAAGATATGACTTGCATAGGAATTTAAAAACCATTAGACAAAACATACTGTCATGGGAGTTTATTTATATAGTGAATCAAAACGAGCAATGATAGAGAGAAGTAAAACGAGGGGGCGGATGAAATTTCCATTGCAGTATTGTAGACAGGGTAAATATTCTTGAACACCAAAGAAATAAATATTAGAAAGTACCATTCTTTGGGATAATCAATACGAGCGATTTTGGAGATGAGCACTGCCAGCATCAGAGCTATCTGCATTTTAAAGATGATAGGAATTAGGGGGAGTAAATATCTACAACTCATTATAATTCACAAGCATAGCCAATAAAAGTAAAATACTAAAAAGCCTTCAAAAAGCAGGGTGGTGTGAAGGATGACTGTCATTTTACCATGAAGTCTAACCAAAACCATGATAATTGACAAAGTATCAAATCGGAAAATATGTTGCGGTGGAAATGGAACAGCGTAGAAGTTAGAACCCATGCAAATTGAACAATATGAATCTCGACCCATCACTGACAAGAATGACCATTTCCAGAACCGAAGTAACTAAGAACTTGGCATCGAGGTAGTAGTAACAGTAACAAGCCAACACTCTAAACAAAAACATGCAAAAGGTTCGTCTCCTCAAGAACCAAATCAACACAGCCACTAAAAGACCTTCAAAACAGTCACTAGAAGAAAGAAAACAAAAGCACCTGATCATTCTCTTCTCTCAAGTACATCAACAACTTCTGCCTCAGGTGCATTTTCTCCTCGTTGCTAATTCCCCTGAACAAACGAAGAAAAACACATTAAAATGTCACATTACCATCCAGACATTGTTGCATGTATGGTTCAGCTTGATTTTCACACAAAACACAGCTTCGCAGCTCCACTACCAAAACTAAAACCAAAAAATAACCTCTTAGCAGCATTTTGATTGCATTTTTTCCCTTATTTCTAAGCAAATAAAGCAAGACAAACAAACACTCCATAACAACAAAACTCAGAAGCGTTTACGAGGAATCGCGGCGGTGGCGCCAGTAGCGGTTGACGCTGTTCTTAAAATACACGGTGGCCATCATGCGCACATCCGTTTGCGACGCCAAATCCTTCGCGGTAATCACTTCCTGCAGTTCCATCCACCAAAACCTCAAAACGAAACAGAAAGCACAATGCAAACTTCACAAGAACCCTAAGAGAGAGAAATAGAATGTTACGAGGAGGCACGAGCAGAAGCCAGGCCTGGACTCCGATTGCGCAAGGGCGTCCTCCGCCGGAGCGCGGAGGCGGTGATCGGCGCTCATGGAATTCGCAAGCAGAGAGTACATCGCCGGCACGTCGGAGGCCGAAAGCGCCATCGGCGACAGTGGTCGAAGAGAAGACTTTGTTTGCGTAAGATTTGATTTGATTTGAAGAGTGAGAGAGTGAGTGAAATCGGTGTTTAGTGAAAGTATAATTTATTTGGTTTTGTATTGTATTGTAGTAGCTACAAATGAGAGAGAGATTTATATAGAGAGAGAGAGAGAGAAGAAGAAGAGGAAGGAGAATGAGGAGAAAGTGTTTGTGCTAATGTTTGAGAGAGAGATGAAGAGAGGGTTGGGGAAGAGTAGAGAGAACGCTCAGCAGAGAGGAAAAATACATTGGAGTGTGGAGGCTATTTGGAACCCATGGCATGTCACAAGCGTTTCATTTCAGATTCAGACCAAGCAGCGTAGCTGCGCTAGCCATTTACTCCTTTTTTTTCTGCCAACTCCGATTATTGCTTTTTCTTTCTTGCTTTCTTTAGCTTCGGTCTATTCCCTCCTCCAAAACAGTGATGGGCTCATATTGTGTGTGGAGGGAGGTGAAGGTGATTCATATACTTATATATTGTAAATGTGTAGCACATTTGTTGTGATCGAAAGCACAAAGGCCATACTTCATATATATATATATATATATATATAGGCTGTTTAGATAGATTTTAACCTATACATGACCTTAGTCCCTTGGAAAGTTTAAATCTTGGGTGAAACAATGATCATGTTGTGCCAAAAAAAGATAAATTTATGCATGTTCCTCCCAAACAGTGTTCCCATCACTGATTGAGAAAATGCTGAAGGAATCAATTCTTGGAAAATATTAAGGAGGGGTTTGGTCAAATTTTTCTGTAAGTGTTTGCATTGTTGGCTTAAAGTGGTGTTATTTTTATCTTTATTTATCCCTAACATTAGTTTATAATACTTAAATTTTAATATACAGCTTCTTTTAGGAGGGGTAATACATGTCATTTGGTAAGGATAATTTAGTGGTTCTGTTTGTAGGTACAACCTTATTTTTACAACGAAGTTAGTTAAAACTAATTATATAAGTTAATTGACATCTTTTTTAGATTAAAAGTACTTTTTTAAAATACAACTTATTTGATAGTTAAAAAAAAACTTTGATTTTGTTTAGAAGTATCATCATGTGTAATAAAAGTAGATTTGTAAAAACAAAATACATTAGTAAATTTAGTTTATGTAAAATTATTTTCATGATAATAGAAATAAATATAATCTAAAAATCACATTTTAAACTTAAAATGTCTAAATGTCAAAATTCATTTATAATGAATTATTTTAGATGATTTCCAAACACTACCTAAACTACAAGTCAAGTGAATAGTTTAATAGATGGTGAGGTATTGAGATTATTTATTCGCCTTCTTAATTGCTTGTGTTTACATAAATTTATTGTTCACTGAAATAATATAAATAAAATATCTAACCTATGTTTGTAGGAGAATAAATAGGTGAAGATGCATGATGTACACATAAGGGTGATGATGTCATTTGGCATATTCATTGTTGGATAGTATTATAAACTATACAATCTCAATTGGAAGGCTTGATCTCTAGATAGATATTCTACACTGTTTTATTTGTACATGGATTTTTCATTATTTCAATTTTTTTACGACATCGTTATGACTATCTTGTCCCGAAGACAAATCTCAATCATAAGTTAACGTTTGATGGTGCACCTTTGCAAATTTCATTCTCCATTTCCATTATGCAAAATCTTAATGACAATAAAAATTATTTACATAATTTTTCCAAACACTTTTTTATACACTAATTTTAGCATAAAAAGCCATCAAATAAACGCTCAATATCAAATACCATTGCACCTGACTTTCATAATATACCCTGAATTGAAATTATTTGATGTTGTATCACAGTTACATATTCAAAGAATTTTCAATTCAAAATTCCTTGCTCGTTCCTAATTATTCTTTCAACAGACAGAGAAAAAAACACCACTTTCTATTTTTTTTTTCTTAAAAACATGTTAAATTACTTTTGTGGTTACTTGCTTAGGTAATGTTTTAAGTTATTTTGCCAGATTTTATTCAAAGAGTAAATGTTTAGGCATTAGGAAAGTGTTTAGTTGCGTTATATATATATTGAGATTTTCTTTATATTAGTTATACTTTAAACTGAATTTGTCTACATGTTCAACTAGATGTGTAATGAGATAAACCAAGTTATGACAAAATAATTATTTGGCCAAAGATAAACAGAGTAAAAGATGCCCATGTTATTAATAATAATATGTAAGACTATTAAAATAGGTTTTGATTAATGACCAACTTGAAAAATTCAAAAAATAATATATGTTGAAAAAAAATGTAATTTTAATTAAACTATACCTTTTTTTTCTTATGAATAACTTAGTTTGTAATTTTAAATAAATTTAGTAAAGACAATTTTATTTTATAAAATAATAATAATTATATATATATATATATATTAAATTATTATATATAAAATTATAACTAGTTTTATTAATATAATTTAAATGATAAATATATATTTTTTAAATTAGTTTTTATTTTTTATTTTTTAAATCGATCAAAATGTTCGTGAATCATATACAAGATGGGACCAGACTCGTACCATTTTTTCCTTTTTCCGTTTAATTCGTAATCTAATAAATTCATTTTATAAAATATATATTAATTATTATTGTCTTCAAATAGATCAAAATACCCACTGCTCAAATATTGAACAGACAAAACTTAAAAAAAGAATTAGGTTATAATAATTTTTTTAGTGGCTCGTTAACAAGATCAACCTATTTTCTAACTTTAATAGAGATAAAAAATAAGTAAAATAAATAAAAGGAAGAGAAATAAAATATTATAATTATTATTTGTTTTGATATAAATACAAGATAAATAGGGTAAAAAAATTATTTTTAAGATTGTTTAATTTATTAATAATAATTTTATTTACTCATTTAATAATAATAATAATAATAAAAAACTAACAATGTGATAAAACGGCTTATTTTACACATACGAAATACACACTTATTAACATAGTATATTTTTTCATCGACGTGTAATTATTTTAATCTCATTTTTTTACGCAATATTATGTACTTTTGACCTAATTATTAGTGTAATTGTTTTTAACTATTTACTGTTTTTATTATTTTTCATAAATAATTAAATGTTTTATTCTTATCAATTTTTATATTTATAAATTTTTATATATAATATTTCAAAATAAAATTAATAATATAATCTTGACCTAAAATTAAATAAATAAAAAATAAATATAAATATACTATAACCAAAAGAATTTTGAGTATATGGAAAAAAAAAGTGAAGTAGGTTTTTCTTATTGAAGATGATATTAATAAAACAAAATAGGTGATGACATCCTAAATATAAATTCTGAATTCCCATTGGCCAACGTGCGTGGTGGCATATGGAAGTGCCACGTGTGCTTAACGTCCTTAATCTGGAAGCATCTGGATTCTCTCACCGCGAACTACTTCATATTTCATGTAAATGTAAGCCTCACCTCATTGCGTCACCGTCACGGTTATCTCAGATTAATGATAAAGTTCCCCTAATTGGTTTCAAATTTCCCCGGCCAAGTATTTTGATCCGAATATGAGGAACCGTTTAGCCTCCACGCGGGTCATCTTCGTGGCCTCGCTCTGTTTCCTTGCAAGCTTGGAATTGGAAGCCAAAGCCGTCGACCCCTACAAGGTTGTAAGAGTTTCATCTTCGTTCATTGTTTTTTTTGGGTGGGGTTTTGGAACTTGTGGTGAAAATGGTGGAATTGTGTGAATTTGTGTGATTTCAAATGAGTTATTGGAGGGTTAGTTGCATAACATTTCGTTATGTTATGTGGAATCCGATACTCAGCTTAAAGTTTGGTTGCTATATTGAATTTTCAATTTGAATATTTAGATTAGGGTTTTGGCTAACCTTATGTTTACTTTGTGAATTACGTTACGCAAGTTTTTTTTTTTCTTTTCTTTCTTGGTTTCATCTTTTCAAGCAATTTTTTGTGGTTTTAAATTGAAGGATGTTCGTTAGCAAATTTTTTTTTCTTTACTTGTCGTAAGTTTAAAGCCTGAATGAGAAAAACGTGTTTTCTTTATATGTTTCAAGTTGTCATTGGTCAAGAATCGAGATGGATAAGGAAAAGAGGAATTTCTTTTTAATATTAATTTCATTTTTTGAGAGCATGAACTAATTGTACCCGTTTCATTTGTTCAGGTTCTTGGGGTTGATAAAAATGCAAGTCAGCGGGAAATTCAGAAGGCTTTCCACAAGTATGTGTACTTGGTGATCTTGTTTGTTACATTTCATCATTTAGATTAAGTCTGATGACCGATTTTAAATATTGACACGGCTCTTATTTTGGTTTTCAGGCTCTCTCTCCAGTATCACCCTGACAAGAACAAATCCAAGAGTGCACAAGAGAAGTTTGCTCAGATTAACAATGGTATAGTAGTTGCTCCTCTCACACATATTCTGGCTTGCACATGTACACACACACACCAGCTCATTTTACTGGAACAAAGAGTTGACACTATAATCAATTATATGAGCAGTGACAGGCTGTTTTTGTGTTTGCTTTCTACATTTACCTTGTTTGAGGATTTTCATGTGTGCTTTCCTTCTTTCAACAGCATATGACATTTTATCCGATGAAGAGAAGAGAAAGAATTATGACATGTATGGAGATGAAAAAGGCAATCCTGGATTTCAAGGTGGTCATCCTGGAGGTCAGGGTGGATATACTTATTTTACAGGGGGTGGTCCTGGGCAAAGCCATTTTAACTTTAAACCAGGGGAGGACTGGCAGGGTATGGGTGGGCAAGGAGGATCTAAGTCTTTCTCCTTTTCCTTTGGTGGCTCGGGTGCTTCAAATCCTTTTGGATTTGGCTTGGATGATATATTTGGCAGTGTTTTTGGTGGTGGTGGGAAACAGTTTGGTGGTTTTGGCAGTTCATTTAATACTGAATCTGCGTCCACAAGTTCTCCCAAAAGTCTTAGAGCTATAAATTCACATATCTACAAGAAAGAGATAGATAATGGAGGGATGACTTGGCTTCTGTTATCCTATATACCTTCACTCTCATCGAAGCATATCCAACACTTTGAATCCACTATAGCGGAGGTTGCCAGTTCATTGCAGGGAGCTTTGAAGGTTCTTACTTAATTTGGCTTAAATATATTTTTACTTCTGGCAAACATGAGTATATTTGGTTTTAGTTTAATAAATATTGTTGGTTTTGTACCTCATTAATTTTAACTTTTTTGAAAATGATTGGAATCACCTCATAGTGTTGGCATGACATGCCTATATGCACATGTTAAGTCAACAATAATTTTCAGATGACATATCTAGATATGACAGATCTAAGTGTATGTCAGTAATTAGTGATGATGAGGACTCGTATTAACAAAAATACTTTTGGAGGTCTAAAATCATGTTTAGCCATATTTCAATTTCATCGATTGTTTTGGACGTAGCATGGCTTATATATCTCTTTTGTGTGACAGGTTGGAAGCATTAACTGTGATAAGGAAGTCTCATTCTGTAAAGAGCTTGGCATATATCCACGCAAAGCTCCAAGGCTTTTTGTTTTTTCTTACAAGGATAATGAAATAGGTTCTTTTGTGGAGTACAGTGGATACTTGGCTGCTAAGAATTTGAAGGCTTTCTGTCAAGAACACTTGCCAAGGTTTTCAAAGCGAATTGACTTGAATCGTCTTGATCAATTCAGCACTACCGGAAAGTTGCCTAGGGTGCTGCTTCTCTCCACCAAGAAGGACACTCCAGTCATCTGGCGTGTTCTTAGTGGCCTGTATCACAAACGCATTACTCTCAGTGATGCAGAGGTGTGTAAATGCTGGTTGTGAAACACATTATTTTCCTCTGTTAATTTCCTTCTTTAGATCTATTGGGATAGTCTTATACTTTAAATGTCAAGGGTTAATTTATACATTGAATGATTTGTAGGTGCACGATGTTTCTGATCCAAGAGTAAAAAATCTAGGAGTTGATGCACTTCCAGCCATTGTAGGTTGGCTACCTAATGGAGAAAAACGTGTTCTGAAAACTGGGATTTCTGTTAAAGATTTAAAATCTGCAGTTCTTGATCTGAGTAACATACTTGATAATTTTGAAGAAATTAGTAAAAAGGAAGCATCAGGTCAGGCAAAGAAGTCACAAACTAATCAAGACGAGGGACGCATACCATTACTTTCCCAATCAAACTTTGAGGCTCTCTGTGGTGAGAAAGCTCCTGTCTGCATAATTGGTGCATTCAGATCTTCTAATGCCAGAGAAAAGCTAGAATCAATCCTCTCTTTGGTAAAAATCCATTTCATTGACTCGCTAGTTTAATGGGGTTATGTATTTTTTTTTTCTAACTGTAAGCACTGTGCAAAATTTGCAGGTCTCTCAAAAATCTTTGTCAAGACGACCAAATGATGGAAGCAGCAGCTGTAGGGACTCCATTTCTTATGCTCTCCTAGATGCGTCAAAGCAACAGTCATTTCTAAAAGCATTTGACAAAAAGGGTTATAAATCATCAAATAAGTTGTTGATTGCTTATAAACCTCGTAGAGGAAAGTACAGTTTATTTATGGGTGAAATGACAATAGAGGAAGTAGAGAATTTTATTGCCTCGGTTCTCAGTGGAGATATAGCCTTCAGGGAAACACGTGGGAAGCCGGCACTAGAGCATTAGGTCATAAAACTGGGTTTTGCAATGTTTTGGCTGAATGCTCGTGTAAATGTAAATAGTGAAGAGTTATATAGAATCTTGGTTTTTTTATACAAGCAAGGGTACAAAGGAAGTGAGTAATAACAGTAAATCGGATATTATTAATGCATGCTTGTTCCTCCTCAGCTCAAGGATGCTTCATCTTGCTTTCAGTGTAGTCATGAATTCGGCATTGATGCTATGTTTGGTTTTAGGATGCAATGTGAAAGAAAAAGAGAAGTGAAGGTATTAAAATATGTAGTAAAATGATTTAAATGTTTTGGAAACAAATGGAAAGGATGAGATATTAATGATTTGACTTCACATGAAGAAAAGCCTCTTTTCTGCCCAATTAGGATCGAGGATTAACTGAGACTCGGTAGTTTTTGTTTCTTCCTCCAATTAGCAGATTTCACACCATGGAAAGATTCGGTACTTTAGTGTGTTTCTCACACCCACAATCATTCTTTCTGGGTAATTATTTCCTGAACCCTAATAATTTCTTTACATTGGTTAATATATTTTTAACACATGTTTCATTAATAATTAAATTTTATTTAAGCTATAGATCAAAATATAAAAATATTTTTAATGATTAATAATAAAGAAATTATGTTTAAAAAGCATTTTAATATTGTTAGACTTTTTTTATCATATTCTTAAATACTATTTAAAGCTATTCATTCCTCACTTGTTAATAAGAATATTAAATTAACTTTAATTATTAATAAAAACACATGAATTTTAATAAGTAATTTTGCTATAAGAAAATTAATTTGAATTATTATTAGTAGTATTACTATATTAATAGACTACATACTCGCACATAAAGAATATATTATATTTTTTACTTAATGTTTAATCGTTATTATGGTAAAATTTACAGAATTTATTTCTGAAAATTTACAAGAAAATTTAAAAAATAATTTGTAAATTTAAAAATTAATAAGTGTGCAATGGAAATAGAAAAATAAATTTGAAAAATGTATAATAGTTCTTATAATAAAAAAAGAAATTTAATGAAATAGGTAGAACAACTAATGTTACTAAAATAAACACAAGAGCTAAAACTATAAATGTAACATTATTTTAAATTATATTTAAAACAACTAATGATAAAGAATTATTTATATAACAGTATTTTAAATTTATTTAAAACAGTCTTATTCATATTAACGTACAAAATCTATTATAAGAATATTTTAAAATTATATTTAAAACATTCTTATCATATTAACATGCCAAATACTGATTCAATGCAGTAATCAAAAACACCCACTTGCGGTGGCTTTAATTTACAGGTCAAAGCAATATTTTGAGTATTATAAAATGTGAAAAATAAAATAAAAAGTTTTATATGATATAGTTATAGTTCTTAAACTTAATTATTTATTCTCAGCTTGATGTCTAAAATACGTTAATTTAATTCATGGTTATTTTTCAATTTTAGACAAGTGAATGATGATACATACTTTCAAAACATTTCTTTAAAGGACCAAGAATATGAGCCTAATAATCTTGAAGACCAAGTTGAATATTCATCCTGAGTAATAAATAAACGCGCGCGCATATAATATCTATCTATTGATACTATTATAAACATTTTTATTTTGTGAATTTTTTTTGTATTCTTTTTAATATTCTAAAATTCAGAGGAGAAAAATGTTAAAAAAAAAACTTTTACCAGCTTTTATATAATATTTTAGAAAATATAACAAATATTATTATTTTATATTATAAATTTAAAAAACACATTAATACTATTTCAATTATTAATTTTCTTATGATTAATTTTTAAAATTGAATATTTTTGTGTTTTATTAGACTATAAATGAAATTAAGAAAAAGAATGTAAAAACAAGAGACAAATAAAATACAGAAGTATATTATTTTGATGGCTATAAGCAAAGTGAAGAAACTTGTCTACGCTTATTTAGATAATTCAAAGAAATAATTGACTTATATAATAAGTTAATAGATTTTTTTAACATAAAATATTTATTATTTTACTAAAAACATATTATATATATATATATATATATATATATATATATATATTAATTAAAGCAAAACATCATTTCCTTCCCTTTCCATGTTCCATTGAACTTTAGAAGAAAAACATCTTTTACATAAATATATTTTCTCATCTTTATTTATCTTTAATGTACTGAGAATAATATGAGAAATTTAATATGAAACAAAAATCAAATTGTATTATTTCAATCACACTCTTCAAATAACATAATGATAGTTTATACAAGAAAAAAGAGTTTAACAAGCTAATTAATTATAAAAAAAATATATAAAAAAAGTCTTATTAATCCTAACATTTTTCAAATAAATGGTAAAAATATATATTTTTATCCATATTTATTTTCACTCTATAATTTATCAAAACAAAGTTAATGAAAAGTTCCTCTTAATTATATTTGTTCATAAATTATATTTAATTTTTACTTGGACTCGGGTTTACACGGAAAGGAAGAGCTAAGAGAGTATATTTGAGAGGAAAGTGTGTCTTTGATTTCACTAAATTAAGTTGATTTGAGAGAACAAATTTTTATACCTATTTATTGGGTAATATCTCCTACAATATGGAGAAAAAAAATAAAAGATATATATAAATAATAATAATTTCTTTATTATTTTTGTCAGAGTCTTTTGTCTCAGTTATATACAATTTCTAAAATACATTTTGACAAGATCTCATAAGAGATTGTTTTTCAAAGTTGTGATCAAAAGATAAGGGGATATTATACATAACTATTTGATTGTCCTATGTCATAGCTTAAATTAAATTAAATTAATAGTATATTATAAATATTAAAGAATAATTCATTTTTAAAAAATTATAATCATATCATCTTGCCTAACCGATTATATAAAATACACCATTCAATTTTTTTTTGGGATATTTCAAAATTGCTATTTGATTTTTAAGATTTACCTTATGATTTATTTATAATAGTGTTTATTAATTAGCATTTATTGAATAAACCCACTTTTGATTTTTTTTTATTCCCTCAAATCATCACCTTCACCAAAACACAAACTTTAAGATTCCACACATATACTAATATTGCAATAGACCATCAAGTAATAAATATTTGATAAATTCATTATAACATTTTAATATAGTGGGCTTCAGGTCTTTCTATTAACCAAACAACAAAATATTTTTATATAGTTATGACTTATTAAATTAAACCCCTTTTGCTTGAAATGGACTTATGCTTTTTCTTGTTCCAATACATTTATTTTTTTTAAATCCTTCTAAAATTACTTCAAATTAAAAAAAAAAAAGACCTGGGTAGAAAAGCACTACCCTCTTTGTTTGTGTCTTCAGTTTAATAAGATAATATTATATTCTATTAAATGGGACAGAAAAAAGTTGATGAGAAAATTATATTACATCGTACACAATAATTTTACTTTATCTTCGTATCTTTTGTTGACACTTGTGAGAGTGACGCTGAACACTTGTGAGAGTCACATTGACGAGTCACCGTCCATCATCATCTTGCATGGCAAACAAACATTGCTACTTGGAATCTCACGCGCCACATGAGTGTCACGCGGAACGAATGAACATGATTCACAGCATTGCACATGTATTCAATTTAATTAATTAATTACCTAATTAGTTAATTAATTAATCAACTAATTAATTAATTAATTAATCAACTAATTAATTAATTAATTAATCAACTAATTAATTAATTCCAAGTTGCTTTAAAGTTCAAACCCTAAAGATTCAGAATCAGCGTCTTCCCTGGTTCCCACCTCTCTAATCCAATGGATTATGATCACCTTTTCTATTTTCAAATATATATTCTTTTTTCTTCATCTTTCTTTTTAGTTGATATGAGTCACACTCGTACTTGCTTATTGTCAATTTTAAAGTAATTAATTAAAAAGTTAGTATTTTTACATTATTATTTTTAATTTAAATTCTAAATAAGGACAGAGACTTTGCCAACTGAACTATCTGTTTTGTTTTGTGTTGGGTAGTAATGCCAGGCTGGTGATGTTTCCTTAACTAGATTGTCGTTTGTTTAAGAATACTTCTGACTATTTAAGATTCTAAAATAAGTTTTAGTAAACATAAATGAAAATAAACCCACAAAATTCACAATAGGTGTCATGCTTTTTTTTATTATTTTAATTTCATAAAAATGAAATAGAATAATAAATTCACACACGCATAAATTATTCTTAAAAAAAGTCATCATTGAAAAGATAATAAAAGTAATGTTTTTCTCATCATATGATGAAAACCTAGTGAAATAAAAAATTATATTTCCCATATAATAAAAAGTATATTTTTTTAATAATTTTATATATTGACACCCACTTTCCTTTATTTCTTTAAAAAACATTACATATATACTATTCTAATTAATGATTAAATTCCATGTCTCTTGTCACATTGTAAAATAACGTTGAAGTCCTCACCGATTTGCATTTATTTTCATCTGTATTTAGAACTGTGGAAAAAACTGATTAAATTTAGTTAGAGTAATAAACTAATGAGCTGAACCTACTTTACAAATTCAAGCACAAACTTGACCTATGTTTTTGACATGGATTCTTTTTAGATCGAAGTAACTTTTTAAAAGTCTATCTTGACTTGAATGTTTAAAGTAATACAGTATAAATATCTAGAGACCATCAATAAATATTCTAATAAATTTATATAGATGAACAAGTTTAAATACTTAATCAGATTACTAATTCGTCTTGGTATTATTACACTGGTTTAAGATTTTGTTTTTGAATTTCAGAGTGATACTGAAACAAGTTGCAGAAAATGAGTAGCAAATGCCATATTGCGTTGCGCCAATGACCTTGACCAATGACCCATAATGCCGGTTACAGTTTTCGTTGTGGTTTTGTCGTCCAATGTTTTATTTAGGACCAAACGAAACCTTTGTAATCATTTTGCATTTTTCTTCTCAGTTGCTTCCTTCTGGATTCTAGAACAG